TGAAGTTTATCGGAAAGAATTTTTACCGGAAATTAACAAACTCGTATTACAATAGTATCAGTGAATAATTTACTTATGTTGCCTCTTGGGTTATCCTGAACTTTAAATAATCGTCTCCTTTTCATAAAAATCCATACAGCCGGGTTCAATCACTTTAGAACACTCTTTGACAAGACAAATTATCCTCCTTATCTCTGTTAAACTGTGAAACTTGCTTTAAGATATCACCCGTTAAGGCTAATCATTCACACGCTGGTTAAATTCAAGTTTTCTAACATTTTCCTCACTGAAGTTTTCTTAACTTGCGCTCGCTTGACCACTTATATATATATATATATATATACCTTGCCCAACTGAGGCCTGGAAACTTTCTACAAACTAGGAGATGCAATGGTGTAACAATATTTACATAATGAGCAAAACTTAGCGGTTTTGAGAAAGATAACTTCAATAATATTACAACAATTAAACTACACCCTCACCATATGACTCTTACAGAGTTATGTAACAAAACTTGTTATAAATATTGCCTTTAAACAATTAACCTCTTACTTCACTTTTTTGAAAAATGAAATGGTCTTTCCTTTTACTCCCAATCAACAATCAAATATCTTTACTTGAATTATGAATAACATGAATGCATTGAAATATTTAATTAAAGTATCTCAAAATAAGCCTTCATTTCGGCACAATATTGAAATTAGCTTGAATTCTTCATAACCTCTGAATAGTGGGTGACCCAACGGGTCATGGGTGGTCTAGTTACAGCTGTTTCTCCTTGAAAGCACCTTGCTTATGCATATTTTACCATGCTATGCTTGTTGATTATAACTCCCTTTAGGGCAACCTCTTATGTCTTAGTTTTACCTCAATAGCAATGCCATGATGATCATGTCCACATCAACTGCACTTCAAGCATGATATTATGCAGCTGCATATAATGTTTAATGAAGTTGCTTCCTTGAACATTTCTGTTGACAAAAGTGTCAAAAACTGCAGAGAAAATGCCTTTTTATAGCCAAAAAATGATAATGTTTTCAGCTGAGATGGGGCCATTTCAATGTTTTTAGCCATGTTGTGAGTGGGGAGAAGTGGATTTTGTAGCCATAGCTTGCTAAATACTGTACTATGAAGGTGTTATTGGACATTTTTGATTCCAAATATGGTAAATACTCATTTCATATGTTCAGGACCATAATACAATAAATATTCAAAAATGATGTGGACATCCCAATCACAAAGTTTTATGCTCAACTTGCATACTGTATGTTAATAAGAAAGCCATGTTACTTTTATCCAAACATTATAACCACCCGTTCACAAATTCTCAGTGTGTTTCATACCAGTGTTCAGAAATTACACAACTGACACTCAGCACATACACAAATAATTTTTTTAGAGGTAGTTTAATCATGGTGACATGTTTACATAAAATGTCCAAGTGTTGATTAAATTAGACATTAAGTTGTTGTCAAACATTTGTTGCTTCATACTATATCACAAACAGATACAGACATTGGAAAATTTATTATAAATAGTTTGTTTAGTGGATTACAGAAATAATTGTGGTTATAACAAATATTGTTTATTCTGACTGATAGGGTTAACAACTCGTAGTTTATACACAAGTTTTGAATAACTGAACTATGCATGAATTTTCATAACCTGTCATAAAATAATGCATATATAGTTGTGTCATTCATCGAATAAAAAAATACAACCTAGCAGAACTAGTTTAAAGTAATCCTACTACATAGTCTTGAACTTGTATCCTTTTTCAAAGCTTTCACCACCAAGGAGAACTGGGTGAAAATTTTTGAGTCATGCACGAAAATCTTTTGCTTCTGCAATGTGGCTAACTGGAATGTAGAATTGTATCCCAACTTTGTTTAGATCAGTTGATTTACACAACTGTGGGACCACAACTTTAGTTAACTTGTTTTACATAATTGTATCACAATTTCTGTAGATCACTCAATTTTCTTCCAAAGAAATGCTGAGAACTAGAATCCTCACAATATTTTATATTTTCACATTTTTTTTTGTTTTTAATGTGATGTTGGTAAATGTAAAAAAGGTAAACAGCACAAAATTGCTAATTAGGTAAAACTAGTTATACACAGTGGGAAATATTGAGATAACTCACAAAACTTACAATATTCTCAATTTATATGTGTGCTATAAATGCATATCTACAAACAAACATAAATATATAAATAAATAAATGTATATATCATTCTACACAATACTTAAGTACAAAAAAGGGGCTTCACACTGTAACCAACTACACGTATACTAATTGAACACTGCTTGAACAAATGAGGAAATAAAGACACTTGTATGTTTTACAAATATACAAGTTTGTAAAACTACAATTGTTTAGGTTTCCTTCTGTTTGTAAGTATGGAGTATCACTAAGTATCAACAGTTTAAAGTATTACAGAAGATTGCATTTGTTTGTGCTGCTTTAATTTCTAATACAAAAGTTTCCAAAAAATCAATGTATTGAGGTTTGATTTGATTTCACTTTTAAAGTCAACATTTTCTTTACCTAAAAACATATTTCATATAGTTATTCATTTCATTACACAACAAAGAGCTATTACCTTGTGCCACTGAGCAGTAGCACTTGAAAAAAAACAACAACAATTTCCTTGCACTGTGCACTGCTTTGGTCAGACACGATTTTTACTCAGTAATTAACAGAATTTTTGCACTTATCATTTTAAACTTTCTTTACCATTCGTAATGTAGTCTTTCTTCTCTTAGTTTTCTTGATTGTGAGAATGAAAGATACCAAAACTTTAACCACTTCATTCAGAGCTTTTTTTGGATTATCATCAATTTGATTTTTCCTCTTAATCAAATTAGTAATTCTGTCTGTACTAAGGTTTTTTGACAGTATAATTTCTCCTTGTTTTAACCCAGCATACAGATTTCGTAAAGTGCTTTTGTGGATCAGCTGAACAGTGGTTTTCTTAGTCATATCAGCAATCTTCTAAGTCAAAAAACACTTTTCTGAGGATCATTTTTCAAAAATGGGGAAAATGCATTGGAATAAAATGATTTAGTATCTTTATAGGAGCCACTCTAAACATTTACCTCTGATACATTATATTCAGAAGTCATGGTTACAAAGAAACATATTTTATAGCAACCTTTATGTATCACCACACATTTCTATTAAACCAACTTCAATGAAGCAGCTGTAGGTAGGAAGTCAGAACATATTAAAAATATTGGTAGCACTTTGTGAAAAATAAAGTTAACTTCAGCTGATCAAAGTTCTGGCTAAAAGTGTATATACAAAGAAAGCACATACAGAACACAAAATATGTACAACTAACAAAAGAAACATAAAACAAAGATTAATTTGTTCATAAAAAAATAATTTTGTTACACAAACGTTCCTTTAGTGTTAGTAATTGCGTAGTTCTAAAAGTTTCTACACAGCCATAACAAGAGAAAACAAAAAGATTTATTTTTTTCTAATTGGTTTAAGCAAACATTCAGATGAGTTCTTGACAGTTTAGCCACACTTCAGCTAAACCATACTTGGAGGAGAAATTGTGATAGAATATCAGATTAAAACAAAAACAATTACATTTTAACTGATCTAATCCAGATTTTCCTTAAAAAGAGAAAATGCAGTTTTCCTCACAATTTTTCCTTTAAAAAAGTATATATATATATATTTGTTTTTTAGTTTTTGCATTATTCATTATTTAGCATTTGAAATTACTTCTTCCAAATGGTATGAATTTCCAAGTGACAAAAAATCTTTATATATATATATATATACTTTATTCTACAGCACTTTCTACTAAAATGTTACTGTGTAATAGCAAACACATTACGTAAATTTATAACATAGCTAAACTGACCTGAAGAGTAATCTTTCCAGTTTCCTGTAGATGTTTATGAAACGCTTCACTCTGGTTGTTTTTCCTCACATTGATTGTTACAGGCACAAACCATGATACACTAGGAGGAGTCATTTTTCTTAAAGGTTTCTTTGCTGAATTAATTCTTTGGTTTCTATAATTTTTTCCTTTCTGACATGCAAATTTCTTCCTTTCAAATGATGATAAAAGTCCAGTAGATACAAACTGACGTTCATGTTTGTTTGTACCCTCTTGGGGTTCCACTTGAGTTTGAACACAAACTGATACAAGTTCTGGAGGTGTTTTCTCAATGTGCTTTCTCCTATGTGTAAACTTTGAGCCATGATAATTAGACAGTTCACCTTTTTCATCCATTCTTAATTTCTGCATTTCCTGAGCACAAGCTGAGTGTAAAACTTTTCTTTTTAACTTCTGTGCTGGATAGTGGTCATACAAATTGGACAGGTCAGCATGCTTTGAGAGAGTTTTTGTTTTTACAGTACAGAAACTACTACTTGCAGAAGATGTTGTTCCTTTAGCAGACGACCAGCTTTCGGAAATCTCCTGTACTTTAGTGTAAACACTACTTGCTTTATCATCATCTGTTGGGCTACTTTCTTGAAATAATTTACCCAAACGTTCTAGTCGCTCTACTTCTCTTTGAAGTCTGTGTAAATAGCTCTTTTTCTGCCGATCAACCAAATGTTTTAATTTTTCCAGCTCTTTTTTGGCAGTTTCTCTTTTTCTCCTCACTGGATAGACTACATTTTGATGTCGAGCACTGTGAAGAGGAGACTTTGTTCTTGATTGCTGATGTGCTTGTAAAACAGTTTTCTTGCCTTCCTTTTTTAAAGATGTGTGATCTTTGTAACTGTTAATTTTCTCAGACCTTACCTCACCTTGAACATTCTTACTTCTAAAGTCTTCATCATACCTTTCCTCTCCTGAACTGTTCTGCTTAACAGAAGTTGCACTCTCACCACAATCAGTAAGCGTATTAAGTTTATATAAATATTCTTCCCATGGTGCTTTCACAGACTTTCTTTCAGATACATTCGAACTTAGTTCATCAGATAATAACACTTTCTTGCTTGGTCGAGCAAGTGAATTCTTTGAATGTGAAACAGACACATAACTGTTAACACCTAACTGATCAGTCTCGGACCTTGATTTCACGACCTCTGTTAGTAAATTAGGACATAGAGTAGAATTATTTTATATAGAAAAAGCATTCTTAAATAAACAAGCATACATAAAATTTATCTACACAACAATATATTAAATTATTTTAAAAAATTCAAATAGATACTTCTTTGTATATCAGCTTTCTCTGAAATGCTGTCATGCTAAGCTCAACTCTTGTCACTCCTATTCAAGTTCTAATGCTGTTGCATTCAGAATATTTTTTACAGAAACTTTTATCCTTCACAATAGCCTCTTTTTGTGTCAGCACAGGCTCAAAATGATACCAGTCAACATCCACTATCCAAGATCATAATTTCAATAAAAATGAAACTGATTCATACTAGAGGTATGTACTCAAAATTATTTTTAATTCCACAAATACGAAATCGAGGTTTATTAAATTACTTCTATTTGTATAATGGCTAGAATACACACAATGATAAAAAAATCAAATCCAGAAATGAATAGAAGACAGAAGCCTCATACAGGGAAAGAATGATAACTGACATTCAAAGTACCTCATAATCTATGTGTGTGTGTGTCATGATGAAAATAAATTTGAATTATAGGTAAACCAATTTCAAGTGAAATGGAATACACCATTTTAAATGGTGGCCATATAAAAGGTTCTTCAAACTTTGAAATGTGCATAATGCCAAAGTCATCCTTAAGTGATGCTGAAGCAAAAAGTGAAGTCACCACTGAGACAATACTTACTTGCAAGGATGGAAATTTTGTTGTATTTATTTATTTATATAAAAAAATGCATCAAACAAAGACATCAATTAGATGATGTATGGTATGTGACTTAAGTAAGGTAAATGAACCCATTTACATTGCACCTACACTCCATATTTAACAGAACCCAAATAAAAATATCAAGTACCTTCTGCATATCAACATGCAAGTCTTCTTCACAGGATAACAGGTTACAAGTGCCAAGGAGAGAGTAATGTGCCTAAGCTGATGAGATATAAAGTAGAAATTCTTTGCATGTCATCACCAACAGGTGAACAAACCTTACACAGAAGCTGCTTAAGCCAATTTATAATTGTGATAAAAACATAGGTCATCTCTCAGAAAAAAGTTCCAGTGAGGAACACTATCTATTAAAAAAAAACACATAAGTACCACCTACAAGCCAAACAACAACTTACCATCTGGATGAGAAAGGCAACCTATCCTGGCCAAAAAGCAGCTTCCAAAAGAACAGAATATGAGAGTATATCCATACTCCAGACAATAACCCTCAATAAATTGGGTAGTGAAAGAAAACATGAGATGTTGATCTTTGCCATCCAACTATTAGTTTAATTTCCCTTAACTTGTTAAGGTTTCTTTTACCTGATTTCTTCTTCCTATTATTTTTAAGAGTGTTAAGGTTTTCTTCCTTGAAAGACCTGAAATATGCATGCATACAGTGCATTTTAGAACAATTTAGTGTTACAGAAAAGTGTAACTTCTGACCTACAAAAGAACCCTAGTTTTCTCTTTATTTTGTGTTAGATATATACAACTGTTCATTTTAAGTTTAATACAAGTGTATTATTTAGTTTATATGGTGCAAACGTTAAAATAACTTATTTTTAGAAGTGATAGTTATGGAAAGTTTTTACGTAACTGTTTATGAATCATTTGTTATTTAGTTCTTTGTTATGAATTGACATCATGTTACTCGAACCTTCTGAAATTTTGTCATTGCTTCAAGTGAGTATTGTTACATCATA